GCGGGAGCTGCGCCAGGCCGGCCCGCTCCAGCGCCTGCTGCTGGTCAACAACGCCGGTGAGAGCCCCGCGGGCGCCGCTCGCCCAGCCCGGCGCCGGTCCGGACGGTGGGGGGGCGAGCCGGGCGCAGAGCCGCCGCCCGCCCGCCCCGACCTGGGGGGCGTCTGGGGACCCCGCCTGTCCCTCGGCGTTGGGGCCTGAGCCGAAGGTGCGGCGGCGGAGGGGGGGAAGATTGTGTTGCAGTTGTGGTGGGTGGGACGTTCATTCGGCGCAGAACAAGTGAACTGGGCACGACGACTCAACCCTCCCCGCCAGCCACGTGCTCCCTGCAGCCCATAATACTTGCTGGGTGGGCGCGTGGGCCCTGGGGAAGGGTCGGGGAGGGGGCGAAGCTTTGGGGGGAGCCCCTGTTCTCAGAAACCCTGAGACCCCGGCCGAGGAGGCAGCTGGTGGTGCGGGGGGGGGGCGGCGGCTATGATTCACTAGGACTAAACGGGGGGGGCTTCGGGGATGGAAAGGAAGGGGGTGCAAGGGACTTACCACACCCACCTCTGGAGCGGGGCTGGCTCCAGATGTTGGGGCTCAAGATCGGCCTGTGCGCCTGGGAATCTTGTGTCCTTAATTGCACCAAGGACACCGGGGTTGATCCTGCCACACCCTGTGGGTAATATCTCCATTTGCGCTGCCTTGTGCCAGTGACTGGAGGCCGCCTTGCACCCAGGAGGAATTGGTAGCCCCCCCCCAAGCCTCAAACAAAAGAGCCTATTCACTGCAGACAGCTAGAGGAATCCTTGGGGGGGGAGACTCCTTGCTTCCCCCCTTCCTCCCCTCCCCCTCCCCCCATCCTTCTGGGCCTCAGTCTCCCCTGGAGATGAGCAGGAGCCCTTTTTCTCCCAGGCTCTCTGGGCGACATCTCCAAGACCTTCTCTGACTTCACCGAGCCCGGGGAGGTCAACAGCTACCTGAACCTCAACGTGACCTCCGCCCTCTGCCTCACCGCCTCCATCCTGAAGGCCTTTCCTGCCCAGCCGGGCTTCAGCCGCTTGGTGGTCAACATCTCCTCCCTCTGCGCCCTGAAGCCCTTCAAGAGCTGGACCCTCTACTGCGTGGGGAAGGCGGCCCGTGACATGATGTTCCAGGTCTTGGCGGCCGAAGAGCCGGATGTGCGGGTGCTGAACTACGCCCCAGGTGAGTCCAGGGGACCCCGGGCACCCTCTTGGTCTCCTGGGGACCCCCTGTGATTGGCTGCCCTTTCCTCTCCGGCCTTCCTTCTCCGCAGGCCCCCTGGACACCTCCATGCAGGAGGAAGCCCGCACCCTTTCGGCAGACCCGGAGTTGCGGCAGACCTTCCTTCGCCTGCAGGAATCCGGGCAGCTGATCGAATGCGACGTCTCCGCCGAGAGGCTGCTGGGCCTTCTGGCTGCAGACACGTTTGAATCCGGAGCCCACGTCGACTTCTACGACACCTAAACAGCTCTCCGGGGCCCTGCGTCCGGCAGACGGTCCTTCCTTCCCTCCGAGGCGGAGCTCCACTTCTCAAAAGGGCAGAAATTATTGTGTCTTTCTTTAACGAATGCTGCACTATGAAGTTGTGTATCTGAGGTCGCTTGTAGAAGCTTTTTGCACTGTGAGTGTGCCAAAGAAAAGTGAAAAATTACTGTAAGCTGCCTTTGTGTTGATGTGCGGAAAATGTTGCTCTACGCAGGGTAGATGATGGTAACTT